TTCAAAACAAGAACTTGAAGAATCATTTTCGTACTATGGACCTCTGCGCAATGTGTGGGTTGCTAGAAACCCACCAGGCTTTGCATTTGTAGAGTATGAGGATCCACGTGATGCAGAAGATGCTGTGAGGGGCCTAGACGGAAGGTACATATTTGTTGTCACTTCAACTCATTTTCTTCTGATAACTCATAATGTACAAATGTCTTGATTTTTATTAAACTACATGGTTATAATTGTTTTACTTCTGTTGATAACTGTTTACTGAAACATTTAATTTCAGAACTATCTGTGGGCGCCGAGTTCGGGTGGAGATGTCAAATGGCATGGGAGGAAAGGGAAGTGGACGCTTTCGTGGACCACCACCACGGCGGGGAAGACCCTTCCATCCAGAGGATCGTTGCTATGAGTGTGGCGAACGTGGGCATTATGCGCGAGATTGTTATCGTTACAGGGGTAGCCGCGGAGGCAGGCGCAGGTATGTATACCATTTGCTCGTCGTGTTCGTTTTGTTTTGAAAGCTCTTCATTTTTAACGGTACAGTATTTCATTTCTGATACAGTTTGCTTTTGGGTTCTGATTTTTTAAAATAATATTATTCAAAGCTAATTGATAATAAGACTGGTGGACTAAATTGTGATAATGTATTCCTAACATTTTTTAGGAAATACGGCTGAAAAATAAGATCACAAAACACAACCTCCTTCCTTCAACTGTGAGTCTAGACAAGTCAACAAATCGGGCTGAACTACTGCCACTTCTATGAATTCTTCAGAGACGAGGGCACACGCCCACCCGTCCACCACGCGAGAGTTAGAAAAATCATCCCGACCCATCGTAGTAAATTAGCTGAGACTTCGTAGCACGACTGGTCCATCGACCGCTCCGTCTGTCCTGCCATTTTGTATTTGTCTTCAGAGCTGAGAATCAACAGGCTTGAGCCCTGATTAAAGTCTACAGCAAAATTACTACAAGTCTACGCAGACTGCAAGCGTTAATTGTCTCCCCCTTCACATCTTCTGCTACGAGCCAGTTTTTCTGTTGAGTCTTCGGGTTCTGCATAGAGTCGACACTGCACCACACACGCCCAGTTATATGACACGACTTGAGTTGCTTCAACGTAGCTTCTCCGATTGTCCGCTAGAGCTCGCCAGTGGTTCTTAATTGAATCACTGTTCATTATAATATGTGAGTTCTGTAATGGTACAAGGGAAACAATTTAGGGTGGGTTTACATAAAAATTACTCAGTGTTTGAGTGAAAGAGGAAACCATTTCATCCACATATCCAGGTCCGGTATTTTATGTTTGGTAATTTATGCTTTGTAGTCTCCAATACTGGAGCGAGGTATAAATAAATTCGCATATTGAGGGACCATATTGAAACTTGGGCTCGTATTTAAGTACACCATCTTTGTTCATTTTTTGAGTAGCCATTAGTTTTGAAATTTTGTAGGACAATTATGTACACTTTGATTTGTGATTGCCAGATGAAAATTTGCCGCTTGCAAAATGAGTTAAATCGATTTCAGCTACATGTTAGGCTGTAATTATTGGTGTCACAGTTCTGATGCTATGCTCTCTTTCCTGGTGGTTGTTCAGGTCATACTCACGTTCACGTTCAAGGTCTCGCTCCCGCTCCAGGGACCGCCGCTCCAGGTCACGCAGTGGTTCACGCAGCCGTTCCCGCTCTCGCTCTCCCAGGGACCGATCTCCAAAAGACAGGTCTTCTAGGGACAGGTCTAGGGATGATAGATCACCAAAGGATAGATCACGATCCAGGGACAGGAGTCCAAAGGACAGGTCTCGCTCCAGGGACCACGGACGCTCCCGCTCGCCCCAGAATCGCTCTAAAAGCCATTCCCGCTCCAGGTCTCGGTCAAGGAGCAGGTAAGAGTGCTGCTTGTGGGAGGGAATGCTTCTGCATTTTACGCAGTCTGAAGAGTAATTTCAGCAAGAAGTTTTCCCATTATTTGAGCTTTGCCTTTTGAGTTTGCGTTTTTGTAACCGCTTATACATGTTTAGTAGCAGTTTTAACGATGTGTAATTTTGATGATGTCGATCCATGTGCTTGTGTCAGTGTGCAACCTTCAGTTGTTGGTATGAGGTGATGGTGGATTCTGATATTACCTGCTTCATATATAATCAGTCTATTTTGAAAGAGCTTCAAAATGTTCCAAAAAAAATGCTGTAATTGGCATCTGATACAGCCAGCAGTGAACCTTCTTTCAGATTTTTGGGGGTAGAAAAGTAGACTGAAAATGTGGTAATTATAATACATTTCTGTGTTGAAACTGCAGAAATAATTATCTTTTCCAGATTATAAAGCACATGTAAGTTCCTGACTGAAATTTTTGTGAAGAAATATTGTATACCTTTGGATTCTTAAGTTGTGTGTGGCATTTTTCAGTAATAAAGTGTCTTTTACTGTGGAAAATATGGTGGATGTGAATTTTGCATGTCTCAATTGTAAATTGATTTTTTATCTTTGCCATAATTTGCTGCAATTTAGCTTCTTTTCCTGCATTTACTTTACGTCTCAACAAAACTTTTTTGAAGTGAGGCTTTTCAAAATAACTTTAACTCTGACGTACAAGGTGAAGCTTTCGCAGTGACTGAAGTTGCTGAAAGACTCTCAGGTTACAGGCCACACCAGGTCGCTGAGCGGTGAATAAACCGTATCTTCTGCCAATGTTTTCGAGAACAATCTCTGGTCTCATCCTTGGGGCTGCTGCATAACAAAGTCTGATCCTTTGTAGCGGTTCTCAAAACTTTGGCAGATGTGGTTAATGCACCATTCAGCCACCTGATGTGGCTTGTAACCTGAGACTCTTTCATAACCTTTAACTCTGTTCCATAAATTTTCATTCATTAGTTCAAATCTGGCATACCAGTTTAAAAATTTTGTAATGTTTGAAGCAACTAATCCCCCCCCCTTATTGCATGCTGTGTGCAGGGGTTTTGTTTTCTAAAAGATAGTCAAAATAGGAAAATTTCCAAACTCAAGGTAAATGTCCTTTGTCTAAACCCTATTTTCAGTGCCTTGTGAGTTTGAAGCTGTAACAGGTATGAACAAATGTGCATCACTTTTTCAAAATGCAAAGATTTATTTGTTGTAAACTTTGTTAATGCTCGTCTAGTTTTTGATATACCGAACAGTGTGATACTCCTGATTTTTTTTTAAAAAAAAAGAAAATTTTGGAATACAGACATACGTGTTTTTGGATTGGGTTTTGACTTTGTGTAAACATGCATTGCCCTAAAGAAGTTTCGCTGTTTGGTTGGTCGAAGTGTATCGTAAAGTAGTGGAAGCTGACATAACAGCATAAACACACATTTACAGTGAAAGTCTGGCGCAACACTGATTGATAACATTTTCAACTTTTTACAAGTTTGGTAATGTGGATCCTATGTTCTCGTCGCACACGTACATTGATGTAGTGGCGGTTTGTCTCGGCTTGCAGGCTGTAGGAAAAAATAGATCACCGTGCACAATAGCAGAACTGTTAATCAAAGATTTTCTGCACGAAAAGGCAGGCAGCAAAGTGACCTGCTTCGCCTATGCGCGTTCTTCAACCACGTTGACTCGTCCGTCTTTGTACTGCAGCAAAGTGACCTGCTTCGCCTATGCACGTTCTTCAACCACGTTGACTCGGCCGTCTTCGTGACTCCTAAATGAATGGAATATTGTTTCTGAGTGCTTACCATGATTTGTGGCAGGTACTTGATACATGCCACTAAATCTTTGTTTGAACCAGATACTTGACAGGGGCCATGCTATAGCTCAGGTAGTTAGTTTCTGACTTCTCACTGTGGGGGCCTGGGTTCATTCCCAGGGCCATCCATGTTGGATTTGTAGTTTTACCTTCACTATTTGTGTTATGTGCGCAGTGTGTGTTTGTGACTGCAATTCTGTAGAGATGGTCTTTCCCTTCTGCGGTATTATTGTTATTAGCGATGGCAATAACATGTTCTGTACAGCTTTATGTTAAAATATGTATATAAAGTGATGTCCATTATGGTTGATTGCTTACTGTAGGCCTTGCTTTTCAATGTGTGTGTGTGTTCAATAGTTTTTCATTTTTGTATTCTGCACTGCTTTTCGTACATTAAAACCCTGATGTAGTGCCCCTAGAAAACCACCACCCCTTGCACTGTCTACGAAAGCCTTAGAGCAAATTCAGTACATAATTTCAAAAGGGTATTCACCTGAAATTGTGCCACCCCTATTAACCTAACTTCCTGTGGAGCAAACACGCGGAGCACTGATTTCTGTCGAGTGACTCACATCAGATTTGGCAGTGACAAAAACTGGAGAACAGGGAGATGAAGCACAGTTGGTATAACTGGAGACTGCCAGAGGACCAAGGCCACCATCATAGCCACGTTGGGGAGCAAGGGCAGCAAACTGGAACTAACTTGAAGCCCTCTTAGCTAATGTTCAAGACTGTTGCTGCTACTTATCAGGGAAAGGCTTATGCATTTTAAAATGTTTCGAGCTTGTAGGGGACTGGCATTTACAGTTAAATTTAATAAATGAAATTGCTGAGCCATAAATGTGAGTTCTGTTTAGACGCAAAGAATTTGTTTATGGAGCTAATGTGCTCTTTCCAGACTAACAAATGATGTAATGTGGTATAATCATTTAACGCCGCTTGCATGTCATTGTGTATACGCACCCTGCTTGACAGGAAATTTAATGTCAATGTTACGCACCCTGCTTGACAGGAAATTTAAAGGTTTAAACACTGTCAATGCAGGTGGTTTCTTAAGCTCTAGTAATGCAGGGTGAATGGAAAGTCAATGTACTCATACTACAGTAGACAAATTTGAAATTATAAAAGTTAATTATTCTTTACTTCCGAAATAGCCTCATGTGTAGACGTTTATGTATATTCCCTATTGTTTTCATAGGCCTAACGTAATTGATCCAAAAGATGGTGTTCGTGTACTTTTGTGATGATATTTAAAGATCTTGTGCAGTCCCTGTAAATTGTAGCAGATTTATGAGAACTTGGTGCCTAACAGGATTACAACTCAACTAATGACAGTCATTTTACAACAGTAATTCTGATTTCAAAGTAAATAACTTTAGCTGTCTCAAATTCTGCAGGTTTGTGAACTGATTTCAGTTGCTGATCCATTCATTAATTGCATTGTACTTGCACATCAGAACATGCATGCATTGGTGTCATCAGATGTACTAAGAAATGAAGTTTCATATCAGAAAAGTGTGCATTATTTTGTTGTTCCTAAAGATACCTCAGCAGTGGTTGTGAATGTGTTGAAAATAAAGAAACCCTACAAGCACAGGTAATAACCACTTTCCTATTGTCCTCGGTCACATGTCCCCCTTCCTCAACTCGGAGCCTGTAAGACTGAATATGGCCCGAATGGGGAGGTGCTTTCAGTATTGTACCAGTACATCAGAGAAAGCTTCTGTGTTAACTAGTGTGGATTCGCAGATGACTTTCGCATTTTTCCTCTTCGGTGGTGTGGGTTCAAGTTGAACTTTCTGCTTGTATTTGGGCTTTGTTTTTGGAGAAAGGAGGCTAGAATATTGTCTGTAAATGTATGGATTGTATATGTGGACTTCAAACTATCCAGATCACAGAAATGCATGTCCAGAAAGAGTAACGATACCTCTGCTGATCATCCTCCATGTTATGAATTGAATAGAACCCGTACCACATCATTAGTTCAACACGATGTGTACAGGAAGTGCCTAACAAAGTGTTTGAATCAGGTTGACTGACTGAAGAAAATTATAGTGTCGGTAACAAGGTTGTTATTCTGCTGAGGCTGCTGCTGCCAGTTTGAATGCGTTTGTGATTCTCTGGCTTCATGTATTTAGAAAGATCCAAATAGGAAGAACTTTGGCCGAACACGCAAAGTATAAATGTAGTGTGTCAGTTGCGGTAATAGTATTATGCATGTAAATAGAATGCACAGTTAATTGTGGGGCTCAATATTGCATACAAAAATTAGCCATTTATTTGAATTTGTTTGGTACTATAACACCCCTTCAGATGTTTCTGGATCATTGTGAAGGATAATATAGGACACATGACTATAATTATCTTCAGAGTTTAATGAAAAATCATGTTCTGAATCTGAAGATTTTAAATGTTTTACACTTCCTGATGCTTTGTTGGGAATTCACTACTGTTGAGGTACAGTGACCATTAATCCCTCCAGTCTTCCCAATCTGCTGCATCCATAACCTCAATTTTCTAATGAACAGGAAGTAGAACCTCAATGAGTTTGTGGTTTCATGCATCCCTGTATGCTGCTTTAAAGTAGCCCATATACTCGCGTTAGGGTATAGTTTAGGGTCGTGAAGACTCGTTCCAAGAGCAATATGGCCATGTTCACTACAAATGGAATCAGTTAAATGGTTTTTAAACATCACCTTGTTTGCTTTAACAAGACAGTAGATTTTGGTTATTAGCATTTGTGGGTGAGTTACCAGTTTTGTTGTAGGAGTTGGACAGTACCCTTTCTGTACTTTTAGACGGTTCATCCAGGTCGTCGCATGTTAGCTATAGAGCACTAAGTCTCAGCTGGGTGTTAGTGCAGACATCTTGTATTTTGAGCAGAAAAAACTTGTGGGGCTAAAGACAAAGATCACCTACAGTGGAATTCATTGAAAGGTTCAGTATATTGCTGGAATCCAGCCATTTACAGATTTGGGGTGTGGTTCCTTCCAGAAGGGATGAAGGTAGCTGATGGGTCAGGGTCTCTGAAGATGCAACACTTCAAGAACAACTAATGTTCAGTGTTAAATTGTGTCAGACTCCCACACTGTTACTCAGAAAGTGGGCTTATTAAAATGGTGGATGTTCTTCGTGTGGAGGCTTAACACTACGGTTTCATCTGTGCACCTTTGGGTTTTGAGTTTTGCACAATTTGATAGCTATGTTCTCTCACTTTCAGGGGTCGCGATTCTACGGACAGGAATGGCAACACCCAGAATGACGCTCGTGACTAGCAAAACGGTTGCTTTATTTTGTGAGTGCACTGCAACATGTCAGTTACTGGCTCCTTTCTTTGTCACTTTCTCTTGATGTTTCAGGTGTTAGGCTGTTGGTGTTTTTCTTATGGTATAATAAACTAAAAGGACAAGAATATTTGTTTCACATGCCATTGTTAATTGCTTATTGATGTTCAGCAGATTGTAGTTTGTATGTTCATTCTGAACATCAGCATAGAAGCTATTCAAAAAGCCATATTGTAGAATAAGATTTTCATTCCTAGTGCACATTTGTGTAGGATGCACTGAGTAGTGTATTAATTACATCTTGTTTTTTTTTTCTCCTTGTGTAGTCTTTTTCAGGATATTTGCAAAAGGAGCAGTTTTCAGTAAAATTATAATCTGTCTGTAAATTGCAGTGTTCAAGTTAGCTGTTCCAATGTTCTGTTCATAAAATAAAAGAATTTAAAACTGTGTTGTTTTGAATTTTATGCAACATATTTAAGATTTTCTGCGTGTGTGCACGCACATGCATGTGCCCTGCATCGAAACAACACAGAGACTGCCTAACATTGCCATCAGTCTATTAAATTGAACATGCATACCTGTCGCAAGACATCTCTGAACTCTGCTGACCTTTAAGGTTGTTTGGCAATCGGGCAAGGCACAGGGAGGCAGGAGAAGAGTTACCACTTCTGATGTCTTGCTCCCAATTGCCTTCCCTTCCCCTTTTACCGACATCTCAGGCTTGTAGATATTCTGCATCTAGCTTGCAGTTTAAATTGTAATTCATTACATGTAATTTCTCTGCTTGCTGGTGTAACAGTGCGTTTGTTCGCCAGCACAGTTGAGACTTTAGAAGGGAGAAACAGTTGTAATTTCTTTGCGTGAAATGTCTTTATGTTTTCGCAGTGGGTAATATATAATATAAAGGATTGGAATGAGGTGAGCGGGGACTGGTTCTATCTACTTGTATGCTTCAGGGAGTGGTTCAGTGTGTTCGACTCAGTTGAACGTTGTAGGTGCTTTATTCATTTGTAGAGAGTTGCTACAGACATGAGTAGTAAATAGATAGCATTGTGTGTCAAGATTTATACAAACATGATTAAGAAAAAGTATATGAAGTGTTCTAGAAGGTGATGATGTCAGTGTCACATTACAGCCGTCCTAGCACCTTATTGGCTGTTGTGAGAAGGGGATTTGCGCCCTCACCACAGGTGTTACGGAAGTCTTCGGATTCCAGTGCCCATGTCATTATTCCAGCCAAACGCTTGTCTTTCACAAACTGAGCCTGCAACATCACCAGGACATGAAATAGACAAACAAACCATTAGTTGCTAGTAAGGAGGTTGGTCTACGCAGAACACACTGAAGTATATGTGCATGTTCAAGTGTCATGAACAATGCGATAGGAGAGAATAAATTATTTAGAAGTGTGCTGCGCCTTATATTAGCTTCTTTCAGCGCGTAGAGTAGCAGACGTAAAGGAAACGATCACTTAGATTCCGTGTCGAGTTACTAGTGAACTGAATACCGGAGTGCTAATACAGTAGACTTCAGTTACGTGTTTTCCTATAGACAGGACATGGTGTAACTGTGCTTTTTGGTATGGGGTTTGTGGTTAACATTGTCAGTAGTGCAGGTTTTCCCATACCATTTGTTACATTGCTGAAAACTGATTCAGGGATGTCAGTCATCCCCATCATATGCCTGGGATCAACGTGGCACTGTATGTAGGACTGAAATGGTGTCTTTAGTGAGGTCCACTAACCAGATGGCTTATGGAACCCGAAGGTTCATCACCGAATTAACCAAAGCCCTCCACCGGACCCTGTCCAGGGCCAACAAAATCCAGTCTCCTTAAACTCCTATCTCCCATAGATCCCGCCTGAGATTATCCTCCCATCTACGTCTAGGTCTCCCCAGCGGTCTCTTCCCCTCAGGCTTCCCAAATAGTGGACCCAACCAACCAGATGGCTCCCCGCCCACCTCATTCTTCTCGACTTAATCAGCCTGACAATTGTTGGGGAGGAGTTAGTGAGGTTCACACTTGTGTTAATTTGTCTAGCAAATAGGCACTTTCTTTTAATGTCTTACACCCTGAGACTCGTGATGCAGAGGTGTGCATGTATAGTCCAGGATGTTTGATTCATGATGGAAGGAGGTCTGTTCCAAAGTTGTTGGATGAAATGTCGCTGTCATGCCACAGTACAGTCATAACAGAACATTACTGCTGTGCGTGGAAAGGTTCTTACCTTTGCTGCGACAGCAGAGATGTCATCGTAGCTGACCCAGTTGTCGTCATAGTGAGCATACACGTATCCTTCTTGATCGTTCCTCACGATATTCCACTCTGTTTCCTTGCATATCTGTGGAATGAGAAATATGTTTTGTGGTTGATCGTCTGTAGTGAAATCCATGAACTGCCTGAAGGATCGTGGATTGAGAGCAGTGTTGACAGAACAAACTTTCTAATCTCGTGTGTGTAATCTTTTTTGGGGGGTTATGAGGATTTAGTGAGCATATGATGTCACACCGCGCACATTTGGAGGCTTCAGTACGAAATCTGACTCGACACTGCTCGTAGTTTGTGCCTTGCATTTTCTTGGGTGGGTGTATTTAATTGGGTGTTGCATGGATTGTATTAAAAAGGGGGGGGTGTTGCATGGATTGTATTAAAAAGGTGGTAGAACGTGAGGACCTTAATCTTTTGGTAAGGGAATGCAATGCAAATTGGTGTTTACAAGCAGTGAGCTGTATTTGAGAATTCATGATGATTAAATATGACAAGTGATTCGCTTGTCTTCTACACTGAGACATTTTCATGCAGATTCATCATCACCTTACCAGTGGATCACGTGCGAGACACTTACACACTCTTAAAAGTTCCAGCAAGTACTGAGTTTACTTCTGAAGATGGCTGTATCTCAGTTTGCATTTGAACTAGAAATTATTCAGCTGAGTAAACATCTGTTTTAATAGGAGACTGAATTACCTCGTAGTACGAGAGGAATCCAGGCTCTTGTGTGTATGGTCCACTGACGCCATTACCGATGGTAGGGGCACCCAGCCCGTGTTGTTCGGGGTCTGCAAGGATGTATGTTCGACCATACAGCGGTATGCCCAGGAGCAGCTTGCTTGGAGGAACTCCCCCATCGAGCCACTGATTCACACTGTACTCCTGTAAAATGATGTGGAATAATCAGTTTTACTCTTAAAAATAAGATGTATTTATTTTGAGGTCATTGGTTTTGGGGTTGACGCTGCAGTGGTTTCTCGTGACTGTCCACATTAAATAAAACCATAATGAATATACTACATTAGTACCAGATTAATGATTATGTAGCAAAGACTGTGTAGTCTGGTAGAAGTTTTCTGACATTTCAGAGGTACTTGCTGCCTCCATCATCAGCTTTGTACTTGTTACCATGTGAACTTTAAATCCCACGTTTCCAGAGCCTCATTTGTCGAAACAGTGCGCTGTATGAAGTTGGGATTACGCTGTATTTCAGTATACAGCTACCTACTCCAATATTGTCAGGAAGAATGAGATGGGCTGGGCATGTAGCGCTCATGGATGGGACAAGAGGTGTGCACCGGGTATTGGTTGGGAAGCCTGAGGGGAAGAGACTGCTGGGGAGACCTAGACGTAGATGGGAGGATAATCTCAGGCGGGATTTATGGGAGATAGGAGTTGAAGGAGACTGGATTTTGTTGGCCCAGGACAGGGTCCGGTGGAGGGCTTTGGTTAATTCGGCAATGAACCTTCTGGTTCTCTAAGCCAGCTAGAGTGTGAAATGATTCTTACCGCGTTCAGTTTGGCGTCGTCACCAGTCTCCGACGAAAGTGCGTGCAGACCAGAGTTCAGGCCTGTCACCTTGCCCGATGAAGCCGTGTGGTAGTCGAAGGCCATGAGGGAGATGTAATCGACGTTCCTGAATTGTGACACATTTTATGAAACAGCGAACTGGATTTAAAACGATGTGTTTCATACATGCAAGTCGTCACTGATTTTGCTAACAGATTAGGGAGAGAAAAAGATGGATGTTACAGAGACGCTAGTTTGTTCTTTGTAGCCGAAACTCACCGTGCGACTTCTTCGAAATCGTAGCTCTCCTCCGCCATGACGGGATCAGCGCACACGGCGACGGTCAGCGTCAGCCCTTCGGCATGTAACTTTTCTGACAGCGTCTTAAGCAACAATGAGAAGTTTTCCTGCAGAAATTTGAAACAATTGAAAACAGTTGATTCTTTTACACGAACCACCTGACGGAACATTTAGAACTTTTGCCGGGGCGATATGTGCGCTCTATATCCTCTGGAAATCAGAGGGGCGGCAGTACTTCGTAATGGACTCTCTTTTAAAATATCGACAATGATTTTTTTTTTGTTTACACGGTAAATGCATTTAATTCCATTTTATCGAAAAGCTAGTGACGTGAGCAAAACGCACAGATTCGCCCCCGGAACATCGTGATTCTTCACCTTGTCGTGAGGAGATCCACCACGTTGGGTCGGGTACTCCCAGTCCAAGTCCACTCCGTCAAAGTTAAATTTCTGCGCAAAGGCGACGACGCTGTCCGAAAACTTGTTTCGTCCGATTTCCGTCGCAGCCACCTGAAACCAATTCCGCGGAATTCAAGGGATTTTGTCCCGACTTAAGCTGAACAGCATACAATTTTACGTATTCTGGTCCCATGTGCAATTTACAAACAATGAAAATTTAAAAATGTGTTTTTAATCTACGATCATATGTAGAGAAAAAAAACTATATTATATTAATATGAGCAGCCTCTCCGTAAATATATTTTAATGTCTGTCACTCCCCCTAAACGTTTGCGTGGTGTGCTGCTGGGACAACTTCCCTTTTCATCGTACTTAACGCAGATTGCATTAGTAATTACTTCATTTTATACATTGTTTTGCATTCCACTGCATTAGGAAATAATTTCATTGTTACATTTGCATCTATAAGTACTTTTATGTACTGTTGTTGATCACGTGTCAATTGGGAAGAGATTACATACCTCGGAGTATGTTATTGAGCCTTCATTCCATCCGCCAATGGCCAGGACTGCTTTAATGCCAGAGCTCTTTGCAAAAGCACTCAACTTTTTAAGCGATCCTGAAAAAAAGTAGGTTTTGTCAGTTCTCAGTTTCCTAGACGAACATTTGAAGAACTCGTACCCCGAAAAGTGATTACTATATTTTGTAAACAGAATTAAATTATCTTGCAGAAATAATTTGACAGAATATTGCAAAATATATAGCCACGGTGGTCTAGCGGTTAGGACGCTGGCCTTGTAATCCTGGGGGGTCTCGGGTTCGATTCCCGGCGGTGCCCGAATTTATAACTTGTGTTGGGCAAGGCCGTGGTCTAGGCAACACGGAGTTTTCCTCCGTGGCATCCCAACAATTACTCCATTCACACACCGAAGAAGGCAATGGCAAACCACTTCTGGATCATCTGCCAAGAACGTATATGAACAGGTCCCAGTCCGAGAAAAGGATGGAAGGATCCTGTTCATATGGACCTGTCGTCAGACAGAACAAACAAACAAAGAAGTGTACTTATTATCTGGCATCCTTGTGACTGACTCGGGCTTAACTCTGCGAACTGACCTTTTCCCCAGTTCTCTTCGAAGTCATTGTACTCATCCAGAGAGACGATGACGCCATCTTTCAGTCCCATAAACGTGTAGGCGACGTGCGTGCAGAGCGACGCGTTAATGTTTTCGACGTTGAACTGTGCGATGCCCGGGCGGTACGTGGCCCACGATCCATAGTAGCAAAACACCACCGCATCTGAAATTGATCGACTCTTAGGGTCTCTGATTATCATGAATCTGGATGGGAGAGTACTTCTACCATCCGCGAATACCCCTCGAGGAAAATCACGGAAAGCTCTGGGACAATTCACAAATTCCGCTAAAATGTGTGCCTACTTTCATTATGAAAGGGTTTAATGTTCATTTAAATGCACGCAACGTCGTTCAACAATTATCGTAGTTGATTGTGTTTCTGTTGCAGGTTTAGGAGAAATTTTGAAAACTGAAGTAGCACTCGGCGTGATTTTACCCTTTTTAAGTAAAGTAATTATGTAAAATATGTATTTGGTTGTTGCCACAAACCACTGGTATTGATATGGTAGTCTGAATACAAATCTTAATACACATATTAAAAATACAACAAAAATGGCTGTTCAGAAAGGAGAAATCCAGCCAGGAAATAATATCCACAGAGTTTCAAACAAGACAGAGCAAGAAGGGTTTTCTGAAGTTGATGTTTGTGCCCAATTTGGAAACACATTAACATTCCTTAACACACAAACTTTGCATATTATACTCACCATTTTGCACGTCTGCGAGGTGAGAAACCTGGAAAACCGCGAACAGAAACAAACTAAAGCTAATAATTCGGCAAGAACTCATTTTCGTTAGGATCAGAAAACTATTAATGCAACGTTTAACGAATACGAAACTCTAATATAGTACTTACATTATCGATGGGCGTGAACGTAATCTAATCTGAGATGAATTTGTGATTTGGTAAGTGAGAGATTTTATGTCACAAGTTCGTTTAAAACGAGCACTTGTAACAGTGACAGTAGTATCAGGAACACTTACGTTAGATAAGTCTATTATCGGAAAATCAATCCTTTTTATCGACTTGTTGAGACTTTATTTCGCAAATAAAACACTTATGAAGAAACCGCACCTGATATAGCATATATTACGACGACGTGGATCGGCAACGGACGGCTCGCGAGCCACATGCGGCTCTTTAATTATTATTATTAAGCAGAATAATCTGTACATGTGAGTTATCTCGTCCCCCTAACGAACAAGCTTTTGTCTTACTACGAAAAAAATATTTTAATTCATGAATAATATCCTATCTAATAAATATTTAATTAGATTATAGCCTATTTTGTTTGTTGTATGTAAAATAAATAATAATTATTCTATTCAGTACTTCCTAATTCATGACTTCAGCTATTTAGGAAGAAAATAATAATCATTTTCAACTATTTTTACTTCCATGGAAAATGCAATTGATAAGCGTTTTTAAATGTCTGTGAGGCCAGGTTTTATTTATCATGAGGTTATAGTCCTGTTTTTTATTATTATTTAGTGTTCTGTCTGACGATAGGTCCATATGAACAGGATCCTTCCCTCTTTTTCTCGGACTGGGCCCTGTTCATATACGTTCTTGGCAGATGATCCCGAAGTGGTTTGCCATTGCCTTCTTCTGTGTGTGTGAATGGAGTAATTGTTGGGATGCCACGGAGGAAAACTCCGTGTTGCCTAGACCACGGCCTTGCCCAACACAAGTTATAAATTCGGGCACCGCCGTGAATCGAACCCGAGACCCCAGGATTACAAGGCCAGTGTTCTAACCGCTAGACCACCATGGCGATAGTCCTGTTGTCTGTATTAAATTGTGTAATTGTACGGGGTTTTTCGTTCTTCTAATATCTGAAAATATTGTCGTTTCTCATAACAGAGATAAAGTGCATCCTGTTCCGTTTGCACTGTTAATCTGGTAATAAAGAAATGGCTTTCATATCTTATTCAAGCAATTTCAGCTCTTGAGAAAAGACAGTGTTTCAAAACTCTAAACAATCAGCTTTCATCATTGTGGCGTATCACCATTCATATAATATCCACCTATTCACTATCTTGTAGTTTTAATTTTTTGTGGAGATATTAGATGATACGGGCGTCAGTAGATAGAACAATATCAGAGAGCAAAATAAAGGAAGTTGCACTCCACAATATCTCATCCATCAAATTTATCAACTGCTATAAGAGTGTGGACAAATGCTTCCATTTTTTATTAATCTTTATTGCCCGAAATGTTAACCACGTGCCTAGTCATTCAATACTTATCGTTGAATATTATAGAAAAAAAATATTATTAACCCTAAACCCAACATATTTACCAAGACTCGAACCCGGAACATTTTTTGTGGGGGGATGACCCTTTTAAAATCTCTTCCTGGTCTCAAGGAATAAGCTTGCTTAGTTTGATGCAAATCGATATATCCGTTCTCGACCTATTAGCTTACACACACACACATACATACATACCCAAAATTTAAATTTTATTGTGTAAAGAAACAAGTTCGAATGGGTTACAGGTATTGATGATGTTGATATTATTGTCAGAAGCTGGGACAAAATAGTGACTGGACAACGGGCTGAACGACCACGGTTCGATTTTCGAGACGGGCAAATAAATATCTTTTCGTCACCAGCTCAGGGGCCCACCTAGCATCTATTCAGCGGGTAACCGAGAGCTGTCCTCAGGCATATGGAATGTAATGTCAAAATATTATGAAAATCAGAACATGAAGACGCATGACAAGAAATGCCTTTCCATACAGAAATTTATGGCAAGGGAAGTGTGATAAAATAGCACGTTCATTGATTGCATACATTGAAGACGACTATCATTCACGTATATTCTCTATGTTATTATTAGTCGACATTGCCACAGAAGCATCGATTTCTGTAAATATGTTCGATATAATTGATGAAGTCGATCAAGTACGATAAATACTCATGTTGGAAGTGGGTGAAACAGGATTGTATGTTGAGGGGCAGTACTTTACTGTCTTGATTATTTTCGTTATTGGTTTACGAAGTACTGCAATTTGCATTTGTAATGGTATGTATAGTTATCATTAATGTTTGTGAAGGCAAGGCCTTCTGCCGCAGCTATAGATATTGGACCAGAACTTCGTATTTGTAAAGAAAAAATATGCCTGCTAGAATCTGCATCTTCGGCCCGATTTGATTATGTTCGGACAGATATACAAATATGTCCAAAATATGATAAAATATTTGTTTTTCTAAGCTTCACGTGTACAAATACAGATCTGTCAGTGAGTTTTATTGAATTATCGCACCTCAATAGATATATCTACAAATACAGATCTGTCAGTGAGTTTTCTTGAATTATTGCACCTCAGTAGATATATGAGAGAATAACACCTTGTATGAGATTTGGTTTCCTGTAGTCTAGCAGCAGATCAACAGAATGGTACTTTCAGGTTATGTCATTGAGTTTTGAACAAAGATACTGTTTGTTTTTCAGTCGCATCATGTTAAAGTGTGTGATATTGATGATGATGTCAAAGAGGCACTTAAGAAGTTCCGCTTTCGAAAGAATGATACAAATGCAGCACTGATAAGTATGTGTTAAACTGTATTTTAATAGTATAACTTCCATATTCAGAAAGAATAACATTCAAGTAGAGTTCAATGTTATGGATTTTAGAATGTTGTGTTCTAGATTCCATAGAGAGACTTGTTTAGAAACCCAGGTGAAGAATGAGAATTTCTTGTATGTAAATGAGATTATTTTAACTGAACAGTCAGTTGGAATTGATGAGATTTTTTGCCTTCCAGTGAAAGTTAATCGAGAGAAACAGACAATATGTGTTGATGATCTGATTGAGGTAAGATTTACATCATCTTGTAAACTACTGAAGTGTAACATTAGTATCTTATCCTGATGCCTGTTTCAAAACAAGCAGTTGATTTTAGAGGAACATTTCTTAGTTTACTGAACCTATTAATTTGATACTTGTAGAATGAGTCTGCATGAGTGAACTTGATTTTTTCACTGCTGCATCTAAGACTGGCTCTGGGACTCATCCAGGTTTCTATCCAGTTGCTACCGTGGATAAAATTGTCGGAGCATGACACTGAACACTCATCTGTATCTATTAAAAATGTGTTGAGTCTTTCTTGTGCGATGTGAGGTTCTCAAAGTGTTGAAGATGTGAATGTTGGTCTTCTGGGTAGACTGGACTTGTAGATAGATTATCAAATAATACCTACAAGTTTAGACAGCATTAGAACCCAGAAGATCAACATTGATACCTCCACTTCCCATACATCTTCCATGATGCTTAATGAAGCACAGGGGCAGCTGTGCTTTTGATTCAAAAGACACTAAATTTAGATTTGCTCCTGACTATGGATGTTATGTACAATTTCAGGATATCAGTGTGGATGACCTAAGAGAAACCCTTCCAGGGCATCAGCCTCGGTTTGTTGTGTACAGTTGCCGCATGGAACATGCTGATGGTCGTGTTTCGTACCCCATGTGCTTCATTTATGTCACACCTCGAGGTAAGACAGTGTAATTGTACTGTCTTTCCTTTTGTTCTTTGATTTAAAATTAAAGTAGCAACACAGACAATGATTTTTAAAAGGGATATGATGTTAGTTTCATGAAAATACTGTTAAATGAGCTGGGGTGGCTCAGCCAGTACAGTGACTGGCTTTGGACTGGACGACCAGGATTCAAACCCCGACTGGGGGCAGAGGATTTTTCCTCTAGCCTCTGCAAACAGACCGGTTCAGGGGCCTACCCAGCCTCCTATCCAATGGGTACCAGGGTCCTTTCCCGAGGGTAAAGCGCGGCTGGGGCGTGGTGCTGACCACTCACCCCCATCTATTGCTGAGGTCAAGAATGAGCAGGAGATATACCTCCTCTCCCACCAAGTGCCTACATGGCGTATAGTGGGATAGCTTTACTTTTACTTTTTATATTGATACTGTGACTTCTTTTCTTGTATTTGTTATCTCCATTTCTTGTTCTTTTCTCTTAGTGTCTTGATTTTTGAAGAATTATTATTTCTACATGAATTGTTTTTTGGCCTCACATGAATCTCAACCTGGCGAACCTGGTCTTTTAATCAGGATATCTTTGCTCTGGCAAGTTTTCTTTACTGTGACTATTCAAGTCTTGCCTCGCCATTCACCTCCAAACAGCAGAGGCATTAGGTCACTGCAACCTGTCAGTTGCCTTTATTCTCCATGTGTCTGTGAACCACATGTTACAGCTGCAGTGTATTTCCTTTAAGAATAGTGGCCTAGCGATAACATCATTTAATTGTGTATCTAAACAGATAGTCAGATGGAGCTTCAGATTATGTACGCTGGGACAAAGTTGGCACTGCAGAAGGAGGCAGATCTAACGCGCGTGTATGAAGTTCGGGAACTGGACGAACTAACAGAACAGTGGCTGCAGGAGAAACTTAGCAAGTGAACACCTTGTATGATTACATTGATAGGCAATGGAGTCATCACTGTTCAATATAAAGGACAGTTTTTGAGCATTTATTAATGTGTATAACCTCCCATGACATCTTAATTTAGATTTTCAGATCTTTCATGTTTGAATGATTTGAAAATTTATCAAATAAACATTCCTTTAGTAATCCCTAGATTTCAGTTCTATTACAGTTATGAGGAGGTAGAGTAGAGTTCCATGGCCATTTGGAGTAGTTTTTTTTATTAAACAGCATTGCATGTGTTTTATTTTGGAGGCAGATGCACATAGTGGAACATAAGGAATAATAGATTAATTAGTTCTGAAGAAGATTTGTACAGGAAAATGTGTAACTTTCTCCTGATATTAAGCATAGTTACAGTTCTGTTCACGTCTTGCAGGTACGTTACAAATAGTCATTGGAGTTTCACATGATGAGGCATTTTAATGCTGGCTGCATCATGGTAGAGTGATACATTGTATGCTGACTGTCTTCTTAGTAGCATTGCATTTTGCACATATGTGATTCAGCACAGATGAACCATTTTATAATTTACATATTCTGCACTAGTACCAGGATATACTGCTGCATTCATTTTGCTTTTCATGTTGCATGACAAAATGAATACTTCAAAGTCAGTATGAAGGTGGAAGCTAATGCCATTTTCATAAAGGACAAGATTAGAAAGGTAATATACAGGCACATGGAGACATGAGGTTTTTTGTTCTGATTTGCTCACACTAAAGCGTGAATAAAACGTAAAAACATGGTCTTTTAGGAACTTGATGTAGGCCAACATCTTGCCATAGGAGGGGTCAGATGGGACGTATTACATTTTCCAGATTTATAATGGAGTTATTATTTATGAAAGTTATGAGCATTTTTAAAGAGACTTGTTCTTGTTATATATTGTTGTATTATGCCATTTGCATTCTGCAGTTTTTTAATCAGTCTCTCACATTCTTCTTAAAGGTTAATATTTATATACTTTTGTTGAGCTTTGATCATTCATAGAGTGAAATGTGTTGTTAAACAGGGTGAAGCTGAATCTACCAAAGAAAATATTCATTTGTGTGTAATTGTGAAAATCCAGTCTGCTTCTTACAGTAATTTGTGAATGAAGTATGGTAATGTAGTTAGTAATGTGCAGCATAAAATTTGTGTTCTGAAATTTGCTTCCCTGAAATTTCATGTTACATGGAAATTGTGCTTCAGATGCTTTGATGTGGTCCTAGTGCCACAAATCTAAGAAAGAAGCAGTTCTCCGTCACTCATATTCAGTTCATGCATCCTTAAATAGACTTATTTAGATAGGTTGCAGAACAAAGCTTAAAATACCGATGTTGGTCTTGTGTTGCAACACCATGTGGATTTGCCGGTATTTGCCAATAGTTAGATGAACCTACTGCCTCTACCTTTAGAAGGGAAGTACTGACTTCTTTTTGTAGCATGGTAGATAATAAAAGCTAAATTTTTGTACTTATATTTTTTACAAAAGCAATAATGGTAATTAAAATGTAAAATACACGTCAAAAGTAATATTTTTGTGTCATGTCTCCTGTCTTATTTTGTAAAAGAACGCCACCAGATAGTTCATGTACCAAATGTTTTTTGTAATGGAATATAGCTCTAGCATCTAGTGATGAAAGGATCTGCACCATATGAGATGGTACTGCAAAAAAGGCACATGTTTACAATGGAATAAAAAAATATCTGCACCATATGAGATGGTACTGCAAGAAAGGCACATGTTTAGAATGGAATAGAAAGATGTCACTATAATATGAGGACAAGTGGTTAGTATTCTTGCTTTGTATTTGGGACATACCAAGTTCAAATCACAACCTAAAGATAGGTTCTTGTTGTTTTCCTCTGTATGTCCTGAAGGAAAATGCTGGCATAGTACCGTAAATTAGGTCATTCTGAGCCAATGATAGCATCATCAAATGTAAATGAATCCTGAATGTGAGTAGACAGCATGAAGAACACATAAATTGATCAAGCTCTGTCAAAGTGCAAAACTATCAAAACTTTAACAGGTACCAAAATCATGTTTATCCCTATATAAAAACCTTCTAACTTAAACAAATTAGCATCCTCTGATTCACAACTGACTTTCATTTAAGAATGTGATGAACAGGACAATAATTGTAGGATTTGAGGTTTTCACAACAGTGAGTCCAGAGGTGGCTGTCTTCTGGGTTGTAGTGCCATGTGGTGATGAGTCATCACCATGATGATGGAGGCAGCAAGGACATCTGAAACGTTGGTAAACTTCTACCAAACTACACGGCACAAAAACCCAGAAGACAGCCATCTTAGGACAGTAATTGCTGAACAGTGTGTGTAAGTAAATTTTTGTACACCCAAAATAAAAGATATTATTAAATTTAACACTTGAAGTTTCTGGAGAGGAAATGCTTTTCTTTAAGGAACTTGACCAGTCATTTAGTGGCCATATGATGTTGATATTACATTCTGAGTGTAATTTAAGCAAATATTGGTTAAATATTCATAGTATTTTTCATAGCCAAAGATATTTTGAATTGCATTTATGTTGTAGTATTTTCATATTAAAATGTATATACTGTGAAAAGATTGAATTTGTTACTTTACTCCAACTTATTTTTGATGTATATTTTGAAAGAGGTTTTTATTTTGTTGTAAAGTGTCCTAAGACATATCGGATCTATTTTTTGAAGTTTTTAAAACCGAGGTGTAATTTAAACACCGATTACTGAAAGCTGCTAATACAGTTCATGAATTATTTAACCAGATTTTGTTGTTAGGTAAAATGAATAACTATAATATGTTTTGAAATATAAAGTTTACTACATTCCTCTTGATATGTGTAACATATTCTAATGTATATAGTCCATTTATATCTCACCTAGTATGTTATGTCAGGAGATAACCGAACTATACAAACAGTCA